ATCCTGAAGTTATAATATAAGATTAACTCAGAGCACTGAGCCCAAAGTCAGGAGGTCAGCTGACAGATCAATAGATTTAACAGTCTCTTGGACTTCCCCAGGGAAGAACTGGATTGCTTCTTTCAGCCCATCCCTTTATGGACAATCACATTGTTCAGAGCAGTGAGGAACAAAACATTTCAATCTGCATCACACACATGCTCCAACTACTCCCCATTGTTCTCTCACTTTTTCAGAGTCTCCCAGGAGAGAGAGAGATGACAGCAACACCTATTAATAACAAACACACAGTCCTTGTCTGCACCGGGAAATTGCATCAGGTCAGAAATCATATTAACCAACATGATATTCCCCTTAATGTAAACAAGGATGCTCACGGCTGGACATGGTTATCCCTAGGGCCCTGTCTCTGTCTACCATAGCTGCTAAGTGCTGTTTAACATCATGTTAATTAACACAGTTTCTAACATGATGCATTTTCCCCAAGGTAAACAGAGTTGCCAGCTTGGCTGCAAATCTCCCCGCTCCAGCTGCCTCGGCAGCGGTGAGAACTGCTCCCTGTCACAGCAGCCACAGAACCAGCAGAGTCCACCAGAAGCTGATTTGGGCTGAAGTGTGGAGATCTAGTTTGTAGGTGCTATTTACTTACTACAGTCCTCCGAAGAATGTGTGAATGGGAGGAGAAAATAAAACCTCATCATCTTACCAAGGAAAACTCATTCCACTCATGTTAGGTCTGAGCTCTCCGCCTGTTTATCTCCTATTACAAGGGAATAATTGGGCACTAACTTTTGTCTCTTGCCTTATACTTAGATTGTAGGCCTCTTGGGACAGGGACCCTCTTTTTGTTCTGTTTGTACAGTGCCCAGCACTAGGGGTCCTGGTCTGTGACTAAGGCCCCTGTGTGCACTGGCAATACAAAATAAATAAATAAATGAAATAAGCAAAATGCAATTGCTTTATAAAGCACCAAACTCGATCCACTGGCCATGGCACAGAACACCTCGGCTTTACAAGCATCTTTTCCCCCCTTGTGACAGAGTGCAGAGAGCCAGCAGCTGAACCAGCGCTCTGGTCAGGGGAAATCCAATTAGTTCCCCTGGAGAGGGCCTGACTGAGGGAGGGAGTGACTGATTACTAGAGCAGCCTGGGCTGGGGAGATCTGAGGAGCTATGTATCCAGTTAACTGCAAGAGTAGAAAAGGAGCAGAGGAAGGAAGTGTGGGGGCCAGGCGGGGCCAAAGGGAGGTCTCTGCCCAGAGCCCAGCCAAGCTGTAGTGAACCCCTTTGTTCCAGCAGGTTTCAGAGTAGCAGCTGTGTTAGTCTGTATCCGCAAAAAGAACAGGAGTACTTGTGGCACCTTAGAGACTAACAAATTTATTAGAGCATAAGCTTTCGTGGGCTACAACCCACTTCTTCGGATGCATATATGAACAAGTACTCCTGTTCTTTTTGTTCCAGCACTGTCTCTCCCTCTGATCTCCTTGGTCATACTCCAGGTGAAAGCCCTGACTCCTGCTAGCAGCCAGCTCTTATTCCCTGCCCCCCCACATCACACCTTCCCAGTCCTTTGTTCTCCAGGTGGAGAATGTTGCTCAGCCTCCCTGCAGAGAGGGGGGAAATCCAGATCCCTCTGGGCCCTTGGTTGGTTGATGTCAATGGCTGGGCAATTGGATTTGCCACTGTCTTTTCAAATGTTTCTCTGATAGGGGGCCAAGGCCCAGATAGCTAGACAACAATCACAACGATATCTCTTAGCCTGCCCTGAGAGCAAACAGATGTTTTCCACTCCCACTACGTAATAATTCGGCATATTGAAGAAACAGAGGCACAACCTCATAAAAATATTACAAAATATTACCACTCCATCCCATTATGTTATTCTGAAATTGTAAGGTGTTCTAACTCATTGTTAGAAACCAAGAATCACCTAGAACCAATGTGGCACATCACAATGTAAGGTCTGTCTACACCGCAATCAGATGTGTGAGTGCAGCACATGTAGACATACCAGAGCTAGCTAGCTAGCTAGCTAGCAGTGAAACCATGACAGCATGGGCTAGCCTCTTGAGTTCATACCCAGGCTTCTGGGTGGTGTAGCGGGGTGGTTACCCCGTTCCTGCCCTGAAGGGCTTAAAACAGCCCTGGGGGAAGGTTGTGGCTGGGAGCTGCTAAGCTGGGCTGATTGGGAAGCAGCTGCAGCTGGGCCATGCCTCAATCAGGCCCCAGATGGCCTGTATAAAAAGGCTGTGAGCCAGAGGCCCAGAATAGTCTCTCTCTGCATTCAGAGAGAGAAGGGTCTGGCTGCAGGGAGCTTAACTAAGTGCCTAGAGTGGAGCAGGGCTGGGGAAAGGCCAAGGGAGCCGGGGAGCTCTGGCCTAGGAAAGCCCCAGGCTGCAGGCCTGGTAAGGCTATTAGGTACTGGGTTGCAGGGGGCAGCCCAGAGGCAGCAGGTCTGAACCCCTTTGCCTGTAACGAGTGGCTGATACACTGCAGTCTGCCCCAGTGAACGGTGGCTAAATGGAGACTGGGCAGTAGCCAAAACTGAGGCAAAGTGGGGACAGTGGGTGGAGGTTCCCCTGGGAGGGGGAGACCCAGAACTATGGGGGTACTGCCAGGGGGCAGCACCCCAGGTAAAAGGACATCGGGGTCCAGGGCAGGACACGGGGGCCAGAGGACAGGCAGACCACCAGCCTGCAGAGGGTGCTCCAGGATGCTGGAAGAGCTAATTCCCGGAAGTCACCAGCAGGAGGCGCTGCAGGGGTGAGTCCGCTCGTCTACAGTGGGCTTGTACATTCCCTGCTGCCGCAGCTTTATTGCTGTTGTTATTCAAGCAGGCTAGCTGAAAGCTAGCTCAGGGATGTCTACACATGCTGCACTCATGCCGCTGACAGCAGTGTAGACACAGATCCATAGTCTTGGGACAGCAGACAGAAAACTAAATATGGACTTTCAACGCAATCAAAGGGGGCATGGATCAGCGTTCATTTCGGACTCCCAGTCAGTACCCCGCCCAAGCCAGGGAAGCTAATGAGCCAACCAGCGGACTAAATTCGGTGTTGAATCCTGGTCACCTGAAGCATGTTGCGCAAATGCTAAGAAGAATGCAATCAAATAAGCCCATGAAATCTTGAATTGCATACAAAGGCATCATGTTACACAGTGAGGCAGCAAAGTGTTCCTTGCTATAGCACTAATGAAAGCTGCACCTACCAGGCTAGATTTAGTTTAGTTTAATGCTGCCAGAGGCGAGGGAAGGAATTCAGAGAAGAGTAACAAAAATGATTAAGTTGATGGAGGGACTCAGATTTATGAAGGGAGACTCAGAGAGCTAAATATATGTAGTTTGGCTAAGCATTGACTAAGGGGGAAACAGGGTAACTGCACACAAGTATGGGCAGGGGGTAAACACCAGAGAGGCAGAGGAATGTCTTTAGGTGGTACAAGGTTTACCTACAAGTAACTGGATGAAGTTCAGCAAAGGATGATGTTTAGAATGAATGTTAAGGATTTCTTAATTGGAATCTCTCTGTGATTGTTCAGTTTCTCCAGATATTTCTAGAGCTCCTCCCCCACACTCCCAATCACCTGTGTAACCAAGCTTCCCCAAGGAGAAACCCCATACTAGCGTTACCTAGGCCTGAAGCACACACTGCAGAGAGCAACCCTGCACTGGCTGCTCAGGGATGGACATGATGGTTGAACTGATCTTTCTACGATAACAATGGCTTTCCAGCCCATTTTGCAGGAGCAGGTCAGTGACTTTGATTGCTCCACCTCAGGGACTCTGAACCTTTTTCATAGCCCGGACTACACCTGAATAAAGAGATTGTTTCATGGTCCCATCTCCCCCCCCATTTGCAATTGCATAACATCACTGCGGCAACTACACCCATTGCTTGCCTAAACCGCATTTAATGTATTTTTAGCTTCTTTTAATATTATGTAGCAGACAGAAACAAGGAGGAGAGTTAGCACCACGTAACCAGCCAGCTCTCCCAAGGCCACGAGGAGATGCTCCACAGACCTCATATACACAGCCACTGCTCTGCCTTATTTTGGGCCTAACGCACAAACCACCGAGTAGGTAAAATACTGTGTTATCCATTCTGTTCCACTGCCATATTCACTCAGCACAGCCCTAAGCTTAGGTCTAACCCAGCTGCAGCACACTGCAGGGATATACATAAGCGGAGATTGGCCACATGTGGATTTGGTTACCTGTGCCCCTCTCCATATAACAAATATGGGGACCACTGAACCCAGTATCTAAGTTCTCAAGGATTCCTAACCTTGGACAGCTGGTAACAATCTGCCAGACCTGAAAAATGCTTTAGATTCCAGTATTTAGGGCCAAAATGAACCTGGGAGTAAGTGTATTAAATGCCCATTGAGGTCGGTGGAACTGCGCCCACTGACACCTAAGCTTACTTTGGTTCTTAGATACAGTCTCTTACTAAACTTTTAACAGAATTAATCAATGTTTTAAATCTGCCCCAGTTGAATCAAAAGCTTTCCGCTGAGAAATGTCTGCTAGCTCCCTGCACATTTAAATCATCCTTCTCCCCAAAATGACGGTGCTTAGAAAAGATAACAATGTCCATCAAAGAGTTAACCCTGGAACAGGAGCCACATGCTAACGATCTACTTTCAATGGAGGGAGAAGCAAGCCCTGAGCTCAGGCTCAATCCTGAACATCCACAACTTCCATCGATTTCAAAATGAGTTGAGGATGCTGGGTGCTTCATGGGATCAGGCCCATGCATTGTAAAAGACTCGGATTCTGGGGGATGAACATGCAAGTTACGTATAGAAAATCCTGTTTGTGTCTACCACTGCTTTCTACTGGACAAAAACGGAGTTACATTACTGACCAGAATCAGACCTTCATGGAACAGAAATGGCATTGCTCTCAAGTGGCAGTAGCTTCCAAAGGCTACAAGCCCTAACCCCACTACTCAACCATGAATGATAGTTATGATCATATTCCAAGAGACTTACCAGCTTCTGTGCTATGATGTTATAGTGACTGAAGGACTGGAGCAGGGCTACAAAACAGACTTTACAGCCAGCTGGGAAATAAGACAAGACACGTTATCCCTTCAATGTTGTAAGCTCCCCACTATCAAGGCATTTGCAATGAAGAAGAGTCAGACAACCAAAAACCTATCAAAAAGAGCCCAAGGGGAGAAGACTCTCGCCACCCGATGGAGCCACTGGCTCAGATTTAATGTACGTTTATTTTAAACCTTTAAATAGATGATCTCTCCCCCATTTAAAGAAAACTTTGTTCAGTTAAAAAAAATTAAAATATTGCTTAAAAAAAGCCCATAAATTAGAAAGCCACTTATGTCTCCCCTCCCTGCTGCCATGGGAGCCCCAAGCATTCTCTACCGCTGGAGAGTCTTTAAAATAAGGACTATGGGCCACACCAAGACATGGTCTTGTCTGATGAATTAATATCTCTTGGAGTATCAAAAGACCCTTTCATTTGGCTATCATGGGGCACGCACATGGTTTAGTCCTTGTCTTGACAGATTCACACGTTTGGACATAATGATAAATGAGAAGTTTCAACAAAGAAGTTTCTTCTTTTAAGAAAGTTACATACAGGTTTTGGAAAACAAAGGCCCTGGCTATTTGAGGAACATAAAACACAGTATCCATCAGAAACACGGTCTTTGAGATTTGGGGCCCATGGAATTAATTCGATGCGATTGCTTCTCCCCATTGGAGACTGTGGCTTAGTAAAATGAGTTCAGTTGGGTCAGTTTAGCCTACAGTGAATGTTCAATGATGTCAGAAAGCCACCAAACAGTCTGGCAGTTTCTGCGAGCCAGTGACATTCTACTCAAACCATACGGATGTGCTACCAATCAGGACTGAGGATCCCTGGCAGAGTTGCGGAGGGAAACAGTGGGTGTTGCAAGGCTGGACTGAGGTTCATTGGCAGAGTTTCTCTATCTGACTATTCCGATAGTACCCATTGCCAAAGTAGCTGACCAAGCACAGTAGCTCTGGGGTGGGTCTCAGGACTCACGGGAGGACAGGATTGTGGCGCATGGATGGAATACTGTGAGGGATTCCAGGACAGCAAACGGTGTTTGCTGCTCAGGAATGTAGTGCACTGGCAGAGCCGGGCTGGGGCACAGAACTACATTATAAGGGAGTGCTGAGGATCAGAACTGAAGTCCATTAGAAACCCAGGATGGAAAGCCTGCACGGTGCACAGGTCAATATGCAGCTGTATACATCCTTCACTTTCAAAAGCACTCAATATTTTACATTCAGTTCAAACAAATGAAGGGAAAGTTTGGCAAAATTCTTCCCTCAGGGACACCCCTGCAACTGCACTGAGTGCAACAGGGATACACAGGCATAACGGAGGACAGAATTTGATGCACCAGCACCTATGTGCTAAACATCAATGCAGGTTCGGAAGGCTGGTTCCTGAGAGTCACATTGTGTCACAATCCAAACCAATTTATCCAGGACTGCAGCTTTCCATGAGAGGTTTGGAAAAGTTCAGGGCTCCTCACAATAGTATTTAAAACAATCCAACTAGACAGGCCTGCTCTGCTGTAGCAGATGAGTCATTAGCAGGAGAGACACTATTACTCAACTTGCCATTTGGGCTGGGTTTTTGTTTGTTCTTTTTTAAACGCAGTCATGGGTACCAGAAAGTTTGCTGATATTAGTAACATAATATTCCTTTTACATTTCAAAA